GTAAGTCAAGAAAGGGAAATAGAAGAGACTATGGTTTCTAATAATGTTGAGTTGATGGATCCTCCTTTGCCAGAGGGGAGGGATGCGTTGGGTGAATCAGGTAAGAATAATTATGGGCCTTCATCTTCATCTTCTAAGTCTTYGCACCATGCTATGTCTACTCCTACCCCAMTTATTTCTTMTGTGATTAAAAATTTTCGGTTGCCGAGACGAGGGGTTGTGATAAACCATGTTGATTCTAATCGGTTTGGTGTTCTTGAGACGTTAGGGGAAGAGACTTCTCGGGTGGACTCTCATGATGAGGTGGTCAATGATCTGACTGATGTTCAGGGGGATAATTGGAATAATAAGGAGCAAGGAGAAAGTCTAAACCCTTCCTCATGATGAAATTTGCTTCATGGAATATTCGGGGGCTTAATTCTCCGGTTAAACAAAAAGAGGTACGAAATTTTATCCATTGTAATGATGTGTGTTTATGTTCCATTGTCGAATCACATGTTTCTAAGGACTCTCTTGAAAGTGTTTCCTATAACTCTTTCGGTCAGTGGTATTGGGTTTCTAATCAAACCATGAGTGAGTATGGTACTCGTATAATCCTGGCTTGGGATGCTCGAGTTTTAGATGTCATGGTTTTAGAGGCTCATAATCAATTCTTAAATTGTAAGGTGCTTATACGGGGTAGTCAACATTATATTTTCGTTTCTTTTGTATATTGGGCTAATGTTTGTAATGCCCGTCATGCTTTATGGTCGGGGCTGCGGAAATTTAAAGTGCTCATTGGTTCTTCCCCGTGGGTTGTAATGGGGGATTTTAACACCATGTTATTCCCTCATGATGGTTTTGGAGGCTCCTCTCGTCGTAACTTGGATATGGCTGATTTTTTTGCTTTTGTAGAGGATGTGGAATTATTTGATTTACATTATACAGGTGTCCATTTCACGTGGAACCAAAAACCGAACTCTTCGGGGGGTATCATGCGGAAATTGGATAGAGCTATGGGGAATGATGAGTTCACGTCTGTTTTTCAAGATGTTAATGTTCATTTTCATCCTTCGGGTCTTTCGGATCATACTCCAGTAACGGTTTCTTTCAGATGCGGCATTCGGAAAAAAAGGCATGGGTTTAAATTTGACAATTTCTTGACTGAACATCCAGGTTTTCTTCAAGTTGTAAAGGATGAATGGGCAAATAATATCGAGGGTTCCTTTATCTTTCGAGTGACTTCTCATTTGAAGGCGCTGAAGATTCCTCTTCGGAAACTTCGTCATTCTTATGGCAACCTTGGTCAACGTGTTGCCTTTTTGAAGACTGAACTTGATCGTATCCAATTGGATGTTGATAATGATCCTTCTAATGTTGAGCTAGGTCTAGAGTTGGGTCATATTCGTATTGCGTATCAAAATGCATGTAAGGATGAGAATAGTGCCGCAAAACAACGTGCCAAAATTGCATGGTTGAATGAAGGTGACTTGAATACTAAATTCTTCCATAAAGTGATTAAAGAACGACATCATTACAATTCTATTCAGTCTGTGTGTACAAGTGATGGAGCTTATGTATATGGTGATGATGTGCCTAATGTTTTTGTGGATCATTTTAAAGACTTTCTGGGTACGAGGTATGTTTCTTCTGATCCGACTATGACTAATGATGTTTTCATGCGTAAACTTTCTTTGGTTGAAGCTAAACATATGATAAGACCAATTCACAATGAAGAAATTAAAAATGCTATGTTTAACATTGGTAATTATAAAGCTGATGGGTATTCTTCTAAGTTTTTCAAAGAGGCTTGGGACATTGTTGGCTGTGATGTGGAGACTGCAATTCATAATTTCTTTTATCGAGGTAATCTTCCGAAGAGCTTGAATCATACGCTTTTATGTCTGATCCCTAAATCTATTAATGCTTCTAAGGTTACAGATTATCGGCCTATAGCATGATGTACTGTGCTTTATAAATGCATTAGCAAGGTCATTATTAATAGAATGAAGGGATCTTTGGATTTTTTAATTGATAAAGCTCAATCGGCTTTTATTCCGGGAAGAAGGATTACGGATAATATCCTTATGGCACATGAACTTGTGTCTGGTTATCAATCCACTACGGGTCTGCCTCGTTGTGCATTCAAAATTGATATAAGAAAAGCTTATGATACGGTGGATTGGCGGTTCCTTATTGTTATGCTTGAAGGTTTGGGGTTTCACCCTGTTATGGTTAAGTGGATAAAGGAGATGGTTTCGACTCCTTATTCTTTAGCCATTAATGGTAATTCCCATGGTTTTTTTCTTGGAGGGAGGGGTCTTCGTTAGGGT